ATTATATATATATATATATATATATATATATATATATATATATATATATATATATATATATATATATATATATATATATATATATATATATATAAGCACTACAGGTACAATAACCATCTTCAGTAGTTATGGTGGCAGGAGTGCCCAGGTACCCTCGAAGAGTAAATAGTCAAACCATTTAAGAACAGTTTGACAACTTAAATGGGGTCTGCCGGGCACCTGTCACGGGCACCTGTCACAGACTCCTTCAGCCCCACTGAGTTACATCCTGCTGAGCAGGTCTGGCATATGGCCAATAAATGTGGCTCTGTACTACTGAACTTAGATGTGTGGTAGAGCTTCTGGCTGCAGAGGAGGCCCCAGCAAACCCCAGGTAAGTTTTCAAAATGTTCTTAAACAAACAAATGTTCCTTTTATTCCTGTCAGTCTCCTACCCTAGCTCCTCTATGTGTATCATTGTCCACTTCTCCAGCCCCTCTGTGTGTCATTATCCCATTCTTAGCCCCTTCGTGTGTGTTGTTATTCACTTCTCAGCCCCTCTCTGTCATTGCCCTCTTCCCGAGCCTCTCTGTGTTTTTGCCCCCAACCCCTTTGCGTTTCTCTTTTCCCCCTTCCACAGCCACTCTGCGTGTCACTCTGTTCACAACTCCCCGTGTGTCTCATTATCCCCTCCCCCAGCCCCTCTGTGAGCATCTTCCCACATTGTCCCTTCCTCCAGTGGTGTTTCTCTTTCCATACTCCCCTAGTGTCCTTCTCTCCAGATACTACCCCCCACTTGCTGTCCGTCTGTACATATTTTACCACCAATTTCTCATATTCTACCCCTACACCTTCTGCTTTTTTCAAATCCTCCCCCCCAAAAAAACTGTTCCTTTATTATTATTTATTCATATAGTGCCAGCAAATTCCATAGCGCTGTTCAAATATCCCCTCCCCCACACACACACACACACCTACCTGTTTCCGGCCCTCTCCTCATATTCTGCTCCCACACCTTCTGCCTTCTCCAAATCTCCCCCCCACCCCAAAAAAAACCTGTCCCTTTTCTAATATCCCCCCACACCTTCAGCTTTCTCCATGTTTACCACACACACCTTTTATCCCTTTTCTCATAATCTGCTGTGAAACCTTCACCTTTCTATTTATTCTTCCCATTTTGTGTACCCTTTCTCATATCACCCCAAACTTCTCTATTATAATCAGACATACATCAGCATGCAGACATCATTTTATTTTTATTAACAGAACTTTTCATTAGACATACACCTTCCACTTTCTCCATAACTTGTCCATTTTCCTATAACCTCCTAGACACACACACCTACAAATTTCTTAAAGGATCACTATAGTGCCAGGAAAACATACTTGTTTTCCTGGCTCTATAGGGTCCTTGGGTCCCTCAACCTCTGGGATCCTCTCCCGCCGGGCTCTAGGGTGAGGAAGGGGTTAATCCCTTACCTTTTTTCCAGCGCCGGTCTCCCTCAGCGCTGGGGACTCTCTTCCTCCTTTCGACATCATCGGCTGAATGCGCATGCTTTCCTATGGACACTTGGGACACTTGTGTACTAATAACATTTTCGGTCAGTGAGCAGGTCTGTCTGTGTCACCGATATTATATAAAAAGTGCTCCACCCAAAAACCAAACAAGTGATGGGTGGAGAAAAAAGTACTTAACTTAGTACGACAAATGACCGCTTCCCAAGCGGCCTTCCCCTGAGGCGCATCTAATATCGGATAAACTCATCTCGGTCTTAGGTTCTGATTGATTATATAGGCATCATTTGTACTAAGCACTTTTTAGTTTTATCAGTTACTGTGTTAATTACAGTCGCTTATTTTAATGATGACTTATTGTTACATTTACTCTTTGCTGATTTAAGTAAAGAAAATTAGAGATGTCAGAACTCGACAAAAAGCACAATTCATAGGTAATATTGATTACAAAGCTATCTTGATGACTGTTTCCCAAATTTTTAAGAGATCTCAATTTAAAAAAATACTAATTTTGTTCTGGTTTAGTTCTCTCATCCACAATGAATATTATTAGGTTGAATGATACATTTCATGGATGTTACATTCTTTAATACCTTCATTACCTGCTTCACTGTTGATTCTGCGTAGCATCTCTTGCCAAGGCAGGGCACAAGCTAATCATTGAGCCATGTGTCTGCAAGACTCCCTTTGTAGATC